CTACGCATCCTAGTGTCTGCATCATCTCGAAGATCTTATTGATTCTCTAGCATTGCTCGGAACTATACAGGATCAACCGCGGTTGGAGGCTATGGAATTTCTTGATGCGGAGGGCTGTGATGCCGAGATTCCCGAGATGGGGATCGACCTGTTGATCGTTCGGACTAGTTCTTGGGCATCTTGATCGCTTTCTTGATTGCATGGTGAGGAATGAAAGATTTTCGAGAAAGGCTTTTTGTGCGTTTTCCACAGACGGCGCCAATTTGATGCTGCTCAATCCGAGGTTGTGCATGAACTGAAGAGAGCAACCAGATAGTCCTTGCTAACAGGGCGAGGCCAAGCTACAAGGACGAGGCCGCACTTCAAGACTTGTGATCAAGAAAAGATGAGTCAAAGGCCCGAGGAGTTATCCCCGGGTAGGTACTCCGATGCTCAAGTCAGTAGGATGTGATGGATGGCTGGGCTAAGCTATAGGGATGTTGGTTTGAGCTTATTAGTAGTATGGGTGTTAGAAGTTGGGGATCCCTTACCTCGAGCATAAAGTACCTTTTTATAGCCAAAGATCCGTGTCCTAGTCGAATTGGGCTTCCGGGGTTGTCGGGATGAGGTTAGCTGCCAAGGAATTCGGGATAGAGTCTCATTCTCTAACGGAATCGTCTTCCTTATTCCTCTTTATCCGTAGTTGTGCTCATCCACGTGACGTATAGTTGATGTGGCTTTAAAGAAAAGATTGAGGGCCACCATAATAACGTAGCTCGACCGAGCTAAGCCGATGTGGCCGGACAATAACTAAGCGACCACGTGTCTTGCGGGGCCAGTTAAGCTATGACCCGAACAAGAACCTTTCTCCTTTCAACAAAGATTGTCCATCGGAGTGAAAAAAGAAGAATTCTCGCTTGTTTCTTATTTAATCCCTCTTCGATTTTTTCTTTCTTTTTCTTAATGATATAGAGTTATGGAAGAGGGAATTCACCGTGCCAACCAGTTCCCCTTCTCTTACTTTGGATGTATCATGAAATGGTTGGAATCCAAGGAAAAATCTCTTTGAGTCCAAACGCACCGAATCGGAACTGATCCTTTTTAAATAATATTATTTGAAATTGCCATGTACAGACATGTATATTTAATAGTGGCTTAAAATATATTAAAGGTGTCACTTTCAATACATAAATACATTCTTATATGCGCTGAACCGACTATTACACTCTTCCCAAAGGGATAAAACATGAACTTAGCTATGGATAAGGGGATTTGCAAATCATCAGGTCAGAAGAGAATTAACCCATGCGAGGTTTGCCATGACGCGGTGTAACACCCATTAAGGCTATGATTGGTTTGAAGGAAAAGGTAGGAAAAGACAAGAAAATCAATAGAAGGATTTATAAAGATTTTCTTACGTTTTTCTTCCTTTCCCCTTCATCATCTCCCGTACTTGTTATCGGGAGATGTTCGGATGTGCTGTCGGGCGCAGATGTGAACTCTTAAAAATGATAGTATCAGATGTCGCCTTCTATCAGTTGTAGTTGTAGTTGTAGATGATAGCCAAGCAGTGACATTATCCAGAAAATTTCCATAAGTTGCCTGATCAATAGAAAACTGACTGATCTTTATAAATCCTTTTAGTTTTTGAAGCATTTAGAAAAGGTTCAATTTTGATTTCTGATGTTTATAAACCCCTCTTCTCCTCACTTGTATTAGAAACATGGATTTATGCGAGTTGTTAGCCAATCTCGAGTACCAATCATTCTGCCTACCAATCTGCCTACCAATCTTTTAGGATGCCTTAATTTCTGACGGAAGAACTTCTCAAGATCGTTGGTTTATTTACGGAGAAGCCTGGTTCTTTGGGCAACTTGAGCGAATAAAATCTGCCTATGAAGGTGTCTGAATCGACAGGCTCATTTTATTGAAGACCCGGAGATGATCTCTGGAACCCTAAAAGCAGAAGTTGCTTTGTTATTTGGAAGCTGTTCTGATTCTGATTAATCTGGGTTAGTTAAAACAGTTGAGTTCAATATCTCAATTAGCACAGTTCTGTTATTTGGTAAGTTGGTTTTTCTTGCCATTTTGTGTTTCTACAAGCTTTTAATTCATTAGAACGAACTGAGATTTTTTAATGGGAAATAGAGAGGGCTACACAAGCCGAGGGGCAACCCTCCCCAGACAACCATAGAAACGATGTACAGAAATGCTTTTAGTTCCTTCTCATTTCTCCAGGCATTTAATTGGAGAATTTGATGTAATTCTAGTGGTATAACGATTCCTAAGAGAATTAAGAAGTCGATTTTTCCTTTTGAGTTATTTACAGATGCTGTTAATAAGGTAACGAAGATAACTTCTGTTTATAATGCATCAATGGCTGCTTGTATATACAGTGAGTTGGCTGAGAAATGTCTTTCGTTGTTATGAGACTTAGAGAGAGAACCAAGCCGTGGCCATGGTGTTGTGATACACAATATTCTCATTTCACTTTTTGGCGGGTGGATGTTGATGCTTGGTAGTTCTCATGGGGACGGCTTTCTATGACAGACATGAATTGAATTAATTTGAGTACATACGACAATCTAATTGCTGGGTATGTTACAGCTTTGTTGTGGGACAGCATGGAGAAGACTTTCAGCATCATGGAAGCTGGCCTCATCAAGCCTTATGTCAACACCTGCTTCAGACAATTTGGAGAATTGGAAGACAGTACTATTTATTAGAGCCATGATATGTTCTTACTGCAACTGTTCAGATTGAGGTTGAGGTTAGGTCTGTTGGTGAGGGATTTAAACCTAGATCACCCATGTTAAAGACAGTAGTTATTACCACTACAGCATATCATAACAGGTTGATAAAATCAAGATGGTTTTAACTTTTAAGCCACGTTTGTAAAAAGTGAATTTATATATTCAAGCACCAATATAATTTCTGTTGCTTTTCTAGAGTATACATGCATGTTTTGATTCTTCAACTATTTCTCAATGTTTCCCAAATGTACCCCAGTAGTTGACACTTCAGATAAACTACTAAATTATAGTTTCTTATGTTTTATACCTTATTTAAGTCATTTGGGGGCGTACAATCTGGTCTGCATTAAAATCTCTCATTAATATAAGAGATTCAAATATCCAGTATCCTTGGTTTTAGGAGCAGTTTGAAAAAGCTTATTGCTTTGTCTTTTAGTGGATAAGTTTTTAAGGAGGTTGTGGGCTCCTTAATGGCTGAAGCTGAAGTTGGGTAGACTACTTATAATTTTGAATATTTTATTATCTAATAAGTCTTTCAGTTCAGCAACTTCAACTGTTATCAAATCAAGTAGACAAGCTAAATTTTGATGGCTCTTCCTTGAAGAATATGGGAACTCTTGGGAGTAGGAGTATTAAGAGACTTGAGGGGGGATATCCTATTGGTATATCCAGGGCCAATTGGCTTAGGAAACTCAGAGCTTAGATGAGACCATTATTTCATGGGCTTCAACAAGTGGCCATGACAAGTGCAACTTATCTAGAGGTGGAGGGAGATTTTCAGGTGGTTGTAGGCTGGTTGAGAGACAAGTTCAAGGGTTCATGGTTCCTTTCACTACATCATAGAGGCTCAATCTCTAGAATTCAGAGAGAACATGTTCAAATGGATTCAAAGATCATCACCTTTCTTGGCTGATAGTCTGGTACCAAGTGTATGAATATCTTAAAATTATTGGGGGGACCCTCCCAGAATACTGGAACAGTTGTTTTGTTTCTCTGTGTATGGATCATTATGCTGATCATACATAATTCTCATAACCCACAGGCTTGTATGTGCTATTTTCATAATTGACGAATGCATTTAACTGATACCAATAAATAGAGTTTATCTATCAGTAACAGATTAGTCCAATCTCTTATCCGCAATTCTGCACCAAATTGTTTGTTTCAGAGGAATTTATTGTATTTATTCATATAGTTAGGACTTAAGATTGATTTGATACACTGAATTTGGGTTTACAAAGCTGAAAGCCATCTAAGTATGATAAATTGACAACTGGTGCGTATATGTGCAAGCTGCTACCTAAGGCAAGTATGCTTGGAGACACTTGCTGCAACATAACCTTGTGAATGGAGATCCTTGAAGCAACAAACAAACAACTTTAAAATAAAATGTGTTTGGAGGACCTTAATTTTTGATCTTTTGATCTTTTGATCTATTGAAGAAACTGAATGCTGTCCAGTGTGCTTGCATGTAATTTTTTGGTGGTTATCTTTATTTGGGAATATGAACGCATTGGATTGAGCCTCTCTCTACAGGCATATTCTGCTACCCCCACCCAACCCACCCCACAATGAAAGCAATAGAAGGAAAGAACTAAAAGGAAAACCAGGAAAAAAAGATAGAATAAACCCCAAAAAGGTGGAAAAGATGAACATAAGTTTAGGAAAACCTGGAGATCAAAGATCTGCTACAAATTGGAAGGCAAATATTTGTAAGATCTGTTAGCAGTGTTGTATTGTTTTATCAATAAGCAAATATCTGTAATATCAAAATCTAACTTGAAAATGTTTTACTTGTGATAATGATGAATATGTTATTTATTTTCTAATGTGTCTCAATTATGGAACTAATTATTAATACCGATACTCAGGCAACTATGACTAATGTCCTAGGCATGTTCAACTATGTAGCAACACAAGCAACATTTTACATATTGGAGCTGATTTCTAATAGGGCCACTGCTTGGTGTAAGGGTTTAGTCTCTGGCCTACATGAGAATGCAAGTTCAAGTCTGAAACCGGCCACTAGGGGTGCACCTCACGGATGAACTCTGGTTGAGGATTTGTTAAAATTTGAATGGGTCTGGCCTGACGACCTGGACCTGATGCAGTGGAAGTTCTTCAAATTGGGTATCAGACTTGCAACCAAGCAGCCGCTTTGTGCATAAAAATGCCGAAGTTTAGGTCCCTACCTGTCCCCCTAGATCACCCCAGACAGCCGGGACCAGCATTGAATAATGGCGCTTTAGGGTTGGAAGCATAAAAGGTCCATTTTGGGTCTTCATATTCAGGTAGATGATACCTTTGTCAGTCTGCAAATTGAATAGAGATGTCTTGGAGCGAATTCTCTGTATCATTGAACCCAGATACATGCTACCAGATTCTTTTTTCTTATTGAAAGGAGATTCTACTGATGCCACGGAGGGCTTTTGTAGCCAAGTCGCTTCTATACGATGGGCCAAATTTCGGCTAAGTTTGGGAGTACTTGCTTATTTCAACTTGTTTTGAGTTGGGACAAATCAATAAGCACTTATTTATGTTTGGGAAATAAGTTCAAAATAAGTGCTGAAATTAGGTATTTATTTAAGAAACTTAAGTTTTGAGCTTATTTTCAAAGTGTTTATTTCCTTTCTGGCCTATCTTGGCCCGTCACGTCATTTTAAAAATACTTATAATACCCTTGTTAAAATAAGTGTTTTTTCATCAAACACTTATAAGCACTTATTAGAATAAGCATTTATTCAAGAATTATTTATTTTTCAAATAAACACTCCCAAACTTAGCCTTAGTGTGATATTATGAGGGCTGAGAGCGGGAGAAGCATGAATTTTATTCCTTAATTTTGCTGAGATCATGCTCTCAAACCAGATGTAGACAAATTGGGGAATTCGTTAAGGCTTAGTTTGGAAGGAGTACAAATACAAATATGTATAGTATAAATACATACAAAATAATATAAAATATAAGGTTTTGTGTTCTACATATTTGTATTTGTACTCCTAAATGGAACCTAAGGCACAGTTTGGAAGGGGTATAAATACAAATATGTAGAATGTAAAACATTGAATTTTGTATCATTTTGTATATATTTGTAATATACATATTTGTGTTTGTACTCTTTTCCAAGCTCAGTTCGGAAAGAGTATAAATACAAATATATACAGTGCAAATACAAGTTTAGTAATACAAAATAAAGGTTATGGGACCAGGTGGCTTTACTTCAATCTTCTTTGTGTAATCATGCAAACCTTTTACATTCCAGTTAATTTTGCAGATAATGAATTAAACACTGGTTTAGTGGTTTTTCAAGAAGCCACAGGTTTAGTGGTTAAGATGGTATTACTTAGGCTCAGTTTGGAAGGAGTATAAATACAAATATGTAGAGTGCAGAGTTCTGTATTTTGCAAGGTTTCAAAGTATGTATTGTATTGTATGATTGGGTTTCTAATGCACCTATTTAGAATATGTGCATTTGTACTCTTTTTTATTGATTTAAGAATATAAAAATTCTTTTTTATTGATTTAAAAATATAAAAATATGTATAAAAATGAAATTTTGAAAAAAAAATAAAAATAATAAAATGCATGGGATAAAAAGTGTCAATGCACACTTACCAATACATTTGGGTGTATTGATACTTTACATCGTAGTATTTTGTATTATTGTATGATTTGTACTGTATATATTTGCATTTGTCCTCTTTCGAAACCGAGCCTAATAGTTAGAATCAGGAGTCACACCTCACAGCACATCCCACCATGCATTTAAGACCTCTCCCATGAATAAGTAGATTGAGACTCTAGTGGTAATGCACTAGCTGGTACCCACTAAGCAGGTATAATCTAGACAAAAAAGTTATATTATATTAATTATATATTATTAATAATATATTATATTTTATAATCTTTTTTACTATATAATATTGTTGGGCTGAGCTTATTTGGAAAAGCCTGAATTTGGCCCAAAAAACAGTAAAATTTTGTCCAAACTACCCAGCCCATCAACATGTCGATACCCAATACCTCTAGAGAAAAGAATTGAACACCCTTCTCTTTGTGGACTTGGATGGAGTGGGGTGGGGTGGGGTGGGGGTAGGGATAGATACGACCAAGAATATATGAAATAGAAGAGATTGATATCCGAGTTCGGGTTTTGTGGACCCTGACAGCCGAGTATTGGGAACATCTTAGTATTTATGCTTTTTCATTCGTAAAGAGATATTCCTAAGGCATTGCTGAAACGGCTGTGACAGTGTGAGACTGTGAGGAAAGATTTTTTTAGGATGTCATATTTACTTAATTACTTTGCTTATACCTGCAATCATTTTTAGTTTGTTATATTTTCCTAGTTGAAATTCCTCAACATTTACATGATTTTCTCGAACTTGAAGGTTCTCAATAGACCTGTTCATGGGCCGGGTGGCCCGACGGGCCGGCCTGGCTCGGCCCAGCCCCGGACGGGCTTGAACAGGTATATAGGCCTGCGGGCTTAACCTCGGGCCAAAAAGCCCGGCCCGCAATAAATTCGAGCCAGGCTCGGGATTTGCCAAAATAGCCCGGCCCGAGCCCGGCCCGGCCCAACCTAAAAATAAATCTAAAAACCCTAGTTGAATATCCCTCTTTTTTTCACCTCTTTCTTTTCTTTTTCCAACGGAATTCTTCTTCTCCACATCCTCTTTCCCTTTTATATATATATATATATATATATATATATTTAATATAAATAAAATTTGAATTTATATATTTTTTTAATGTAAATAAATTCTGATTTATATTGATTATTGAATAGGGAAAATTTCTAATTTTTTTATTAGGGCCGGGCTTGGGTCCAAGTTGTAGGCCCGTTGGTCGGGCCGGGCTCGGACTCGGGCCTAACATATTTCTATTAATGAAGAGTAAAAGCCCGGCCTGACCCGGCCCGTGAACAGATCTAGTTCTCAATAGACCTGTTCATGGGCCGGGTGGCCCGACAGGCCGGCCCGGCCCTGGACGGGCTTGAACATGTTTATAGGCCCGCGGGTTTAAACTCGAGCCAAAAAGCCCGGCCCACAATAAATTCGAGCCGGGTTCAGGTTTTGTCAAAATAGCCTTGCCTGACCTAAAATTAGACTTAAAATGGGTTATGTGATTATGTCCATTTGAATAAATTTTTTGATTTAAGAATGTAAAACTGTGTTTTAAAACGTAAAAGAAAAGGAAAAAAACCATGTTGTAGGCCCATTGTTCATTTAAATAGGAAAAAAAACCATATGAATTTTTAATTCTAATTTGAATAAGAAAAATTGTAATTTTTTTTATTAGGTTGGGCTTCGGGTTTTTTATTAGAAACCCTTAATGATGGCATTTCATGGAAAATGCTATCTCAGTGCTTTTCTGACATTATTTGCATTCAGCGTTCTCTTCGAGTCAGGAAGAAAGCTTTTGATAGGACAATTACAGAGCTTGACCAAAAGACAGCAGAGGAAGCATTGGCCAATGAAGTACTAGAAAAGTTGGGGGGTTTGGTAAGAGAGTGCAAGGGCATAGAAAGGAAGCTTTCAACAACCTATAGTTTGGGTAGGGAAGGAGTTGGATTACAACCACAGCATGCCCTTCCCCTGTATGATGGGAGCACAAAGAGCTACTCTTTTCAAGGTACTAAAAGAGAGAGCTTTACCATCTTTCACAAAGAGCTACTGTTGAAAAGCTATGGGCCTCTTAGTTTCCACAAGGTCCAGCCACAACTCTTCATCACCCAGATAACTGTTAGAAATATCTATTTGTAAGTGGAGCATGTGTCTCAACTGTATAAAGATGGATCATATCCACTCTTTTGAGCCAGAGGACAAGTTTATTATGGATAATCAGCACTCTGAGTTTTTTGCCACTGAGGGTGCTTCTGTTCCATCTCTAATTAATCAGGAAGTTGGTTTCTCAGATGAGGCATGGACCATTCAATCAGACAACCTTAAGGCCTTGCCAAAACTTAATGAGTCACATGCTATAAAATATTAGATCATCAAGTGTGTAGACAGTAGGTAGACATTGCTTAAGAAATGAACATAATCTGTAAAGTACAAGTTGTGTAGAAGTATGATACAACCACTATATATATATGTGTGGTTCTTCTTTTCTTTTTTTGTCTTTCATTTAACTTTTAAGTGATTTCTGATAAGTTATTTCCAGCAACATCTAGCTGATAGTGTAACATTTAAAAATTGTATTGCTTCCTTGACGGGTTATTGGAGGCTTGGTTATAGTTATAATGCTTCCTCTTGTGTCACTAACTACACAATCCGCTTCCTACGCGTTCACTCATTTTGAGATATCTGAGTCAACTGGGATAACAAGCAGTGTATATGCTGCCATTCTATCTGTTCTTGTTAGTCAGTACTCTCTATATGGACATGATGCTGCAGCTCATCTCACAGAAGAAACAAAGGGTGCAGACAAGAATGGTCCAATTGCAATCCTTTCTAGTATAGGGATCGTTTCATTATTTGGATGGGCACACATATTGGCTCTTACTTTCAGCATTCAGGTATTATTTGTGAACTAATATCCAATTGTTATTTTCCATATCTGATACAAGATTGCTATTYTCAATCCAGGATCCAAGCTACTTATATGATGTAAACAACGAAACTGCTGGAGCATTTGTACCAGCCCAAATACTTTATGACGCATTTCATGGGAGGTATCATAATGCCGCAGGAGCAATAATTTTACTCTTTGTTATCTAGGGATCCTTCTTCTTTGGTGGCCTTTCAATTACTACCAGTGCAGCCAGAGTGGTAAGTAAATTATCTCTTTACCTTACTAGGTTGTTTATACCTTTGCTTTTGGAACTATTCCTATAAAAAACCATAATAGTCTAAGCCTGAATATTAGATCCTGATCTGAAAACCAATTTCTCCTTAATGCACATCTTATTTTCATTGGCCTTGATGGTGACCTTAAACTTTTGCTGCAAAGTACTTTAGCTTAAGCAGGAAAAAAGGAAGTAAAAAAAAATGATGGTCATGGGCTTTTCAATTCAATCAATTGATTGTCTGACGTTATTTTCTTTATAT